TTTTCTTACTTCTGTCTTACCTACTATGTTATCTCCTGTTCCCTTAACACTGCTTTGATCTGCCCCTGCTTATCCGGTAGCGGTTGCTCCCTCCCATGTTCCATTTTCTCTTTTCTTCTTCCAAGAGCATAGCAACCTCCCGCTGTGAATATTTTCTTTAGAACACCCTTCCCCTTCCTGTTGGTGTGTTCTCTGGTTGGTGCACCATTGCTTTCCGGAGATGCAGTGAGATTTGCATCAGGACTCAATCAAACAGGGTCGAGAGGAAGGGGGAGAAATTTCTGGTAGTGAAGCTCAAGGTACAGAAACCAAAGGAAGAATAGGCCCTTCTGCTCCCAGTGGTAGCAGACCTTTGTCTGAGCAGGTGCCCTTCAGTGCCCTGGAGGCAGGTACTCCGTCTCAGTATTAAAACACAGTTCGTTTCCTCAGGGCCAGCTTGAGATCAAAGTAACGCAGAAAACTCCCAATAGCCAACAGCAAGCAAGGCAGCAGAGAGGACATACCGTTCTCCTGTGGGGACCTTTCACAGATATTCCCTGCATCTCCTGCCTGGGACCCATGAACAGATTTAGCTTAGCTCTCATCTCTCCAGAGCTGAGCCACTCAGGACTCTTGTTTATTGAGGTGAGGAACCGTTTTTTGGTCAGGGGCCACTCACCCACAGAAAAGTCAGTCGGGGGCCACACACAAGCAAAAAATAAAAAACCCCTCACTACTCACCGGTTCTCAACGCTCCCAAGGTGGGAAGCAAAGGGAAGAACCCACCTTTCACTCACACTTAACTCAGCCTGCGCTGCAGTCCAGGCCTGCAGGAGGTTTGGGGCGGTGCTGAAGCTTGGGGCTTCCGCCCCCACAGCCTCACTTGAGGAACCCTAGGGTTCCAGCCTGGGGTAGGCGGGCCGGCGCTCGTGTTCCAGCCCTGCAGGTGGGCACTGAGGCTCAGGGCTTCTGGCTCACAACGTGGATGGTTGCTGGGAACCAGATCAAATTAAGCTGGGGGCCGAATTCAGCCTGCAAGCTGTAGGTTCCTCACCTCTGTTGTATCCAGCAGCCGATTGCTCTGTCTGGTGACTGTAGCTTCCAGGAACCATTGTCATAAAGCAGCCAAACAGATCTGAGCCAACTGAGGTTATAGGCCCCTGCTTTATTCCACAGCATTAGAAACCTGTCTCACACACCTGCCCAGATGCTGGGCTGCAGCTGAGCCACACAGTGTGCAGGCATGCAGCCTGCTGTCCACCTGGATGCCTCACTCCTAGGGTGGGGAGCATGGGTTTACTGAGTGGCTGGCTGAGTTTGCCAGCTGTGAAAAGGAAAAGCCGCTCATGGTCTTTCCAGAGACATTGGTGAGGAGCAGCTGTCTTGGAGCCTGGCTTGTCGGGATTATTAATGTTACTGATTAGAAGTCCACTACTAAGCATCCGCAGGCCTCTGTACTCTGCCGTTCGTCCTCAGGCTGCACTCTGAATGCCCCTCTTCTTGGCTTAAGTGCTGTCTGTCTGCTCTTCAGTTTTGAAACAAGGAGGTGCGGGCGTGCGGGGACTATGATCAGCCGTGAGTTGCCACCTAGCTCTGCTCACTAAGAGGACTGTTGGCATTCGCTTACCGTAATAGGCAGGGTAGTCTGGAGTGTAATCTCCTGGCCCACAGATCTAAGGAGGCGATGGAGCTTTTCTCAGGCCTGCTGAGCCCCAGAAAAGTTTTGCTAGTGTAGCTCTAGCTATAAACCCTCCCAGTGCAGCTGCAGTTCAGACTGGCAGAAAGAAGTGCTTTTGCTAGTGTAGCTTGTATTGCAGTGTTTCCAAATTTTATTTGGCCACGGAACCCTTTTCAGCTTGAAAGAATTTCAAGGAACCCCTATGGTTGACAGGCAAAAAACAAAAACCAAATCAAACCTGAGTCCCGCCGCAGTTCGTCTCTGTCTCTTTAAGAGGGCGTAGGGGAGTGCCGGGTTCTTGCAGAACCCTTGGTTCCGTGGGGCACCGATTGGGAAACACTGTTGTATCGGATCCCTGTGTGATTAGCTATAGTGGCAGAAGCATTTTCATGCCAGTGTAACTACGTCTGCACTAGGGCTTCTGCCAGCATAGAAGTGTCACTAAAAAAAATCCCCTTCCCCCCCTAACAGTATGGCTATGCCTAGCCTTGGTGTTGTCATCCAGTCTTCTCTGGAGCATCTAGGCCAGGGGAGGGCAAAACATGGCCCATGACAGATTCATCCTGCCAAAACTTCAGATCCGCCTGTCATGAAACTCTGGGATGCCAGTGTTCCACAGCTCTGCACGCTGCTCACAGCGGCCGGCTTCTGGGCCATGTGTGTGTCTGTGCCGTGCGCTCCTTGCGGGGCCTCCATAAGCTGCCCCTGCTTCCCCGCCATACTTGCAGCTCCTGCTGGCTGTAAGCCCAAGGGGTGTGAGGTGTGCAGAGAAACACATGGCTCCAGCAGCCGGCCGCTTTGAGCGGCATGCAGGGCCATGGCAGCCTGAGGGTCCCAATGGATTGCTGCCTGGGAGCTGCCTACTGTGGTAAGTGCCTTCAGGTCAGACCCTGAACCTGGCACTCCCCCAAACTCCTTGCCTCCCGTTACTACCCAAACCCTCTGCACCTCTTCCTGCATCCCTGCTTCAGGTCACAGCCCCTCCTGCCCCAGGTAACAACCCCCAACCTCCACACCCCTTCCCCAGGTCAGAATCCTGTCCTGCACGCATTCCCACGCCTGCCTCCTTCTGCACCCCACCTCCATCCCTGACCCCGCATCCCTCCACTAATATCATAACAGAGTGAGGCTCGTGATCATTTACCACATTTCTCAAGTGCTCCCCCATCAAAAATGATTGCCCACCCCTGTTCTTGGCAATAGACTGTTCAGCAGCCACCACTGGGGAAGGCAGAAGCATTAGTGGGACCCCAGGCCAAAAAAGGGCAATCAAACTTTGGGGCTGTCTCTGGCTCCCCCTCCTCAGAACAAACCCACACATCCCTGTCACTTGGTTATGGATCAAAACTGCTCACTTGTGTGAGCTCACCAGAAGTGGGACCCAGTAGCTTGTCAGCTCATGCTACTCTAGCATAGAGGAAACAGGCCATGTTCCGGGCCATCCTGCGCCTGAAACTTATGGCAGGCGCGCAAAAGCACCTCACAGGGTGTGATGGGTAGAGCCTCTGTCCTGTTGTGCCGTGTGGAACAAGTCTGCCATTCCCTTCCGTTCGGAGAATACGGCAGCAGTGCATGGAGGTGTCTTAGCACTGGGAAGAAACAAAGCCCAGGGCAATATGGCCCAACACCAGGTTTTCAGAAACCACAGGTCAGGTTCCCAAAATTATGGGATTGGCAAAAAGATCCTGGGATTTGAACAACAATATCGAGTTCTTTGCTGACTGGGTTTTGAGACCTTAGGGATCACACTTGCAAGCTTTTCCTTACAGCCTCGAGGGCTAGAGTGTTTTTTTTTTTCTAAAAGAGAGCTGGCAGTGCCATGTAATAATATAACTCATTTGGATCGGTAAGAGAAACCCCAAATATTGAGAGATGTGCAATGAAATGGTGCGAGTGGGCAATGCTGGGAGATGTCTCTGAGGCTTGGTAAAGGAGCTGAGATAAGGGACGTACGGGCTCTAATGTAAGGCCCAAGGCAGGGGACATATGGAGGTGAAAGGGAATACCGAGGTGCTGACACTGACTAAAGTAAAAATGGGCACAAATCATGAATTTCAAATCCAGAGACAAGCTTTGCCAGGAGTTGAGGTGTTGGGATCTGAGGTTCTGGTCCAGCCCATTCTAGAGCGAGGGCCTACGCCATGAAATCAGGTTGCAGAACCAATCCAATTCCCTGTTCCTCCTAGAGTTTGTGGGTTTTCATATCCACCATTTTGGTTTGGGCCCATCTCTGGCACAGAGACAGCTGTGTTGGAGGTACGAAAGCTCTTAGTCCCTAGCAAGAATCCCCCTCCCAACAAATGGTTTTAAAATTCTGTTCTGGAAATACTTCACTACAGAAAAAGTCTCCTTCCTCCCCAGCACCCCCAGCTCCCTGCTTGAGACGACAGGCCCTGTTTCCTGTCAGATCATGGTGGAGGATTCCGTTTATGTGCCTCAAGTTCTGTGTCCAAGGTCAGAGCCACGGAGGACTCTATGGGATTCCTGTTGGAGACATGGAGCTAGCCCAACCTTTCTTCTCCGCTATAAATCACTCTGGTGACCCTCCACTCTTGACTGTCCCTGAATAGGGGCGTGACCTCAGGGTTCTTTGCTGTCTGGTGCCAGAATGTCGGG